GGAGCCCCGCGCCCCTCCTCCTCCTCTTCGGAAGCCCCGCCTCCACCCCTCACGTGACCTCCCCGCTTGGCCTCGTTCACGTGACCTCTCCTTCTTTCCCGCCCCCTTGTTCTCGACTGCCACCCTCCACATGTGACCGCGGCTCTGGCTCGCCGGCTTTAAGCGCCTCAGTGCGTGCTGACGCACAGCGTGCGTGCGTGCGTGCGTGCGTGCTCTCCCCGCTCACGTGATCCGGCCCCGCGTGCTCCCAGGGGCTCCCCGCGCGGGACTCCCTGCATCCCCACGCCGGTCCTCGGCGCAGGGTCCGCAGCCCCGGCCCTCGTGAGGCCACGTGGGCATGCCCGGTCTCCACGCCGGATAAGGGGCGCGTAGCTGGGGAAGGAGATAGGGACCCGGTAGCAAGAGTCTGGGATTCTCGCCCGGCCCAGCCGCTGGTTCGTTCCGTTGTGTGACTTGGGTCGACTGCCTTCCTCCAGTCGTCTCATCTGTACAGTGACTGGTGAGGGCAATGCCCGCTCTGCCTACTCCCGAAGATTCGATGCCAGGGGACTGCCAAGTGTGGGATAGATCGCTGGCCCATTAAGTGTGAGATTGCTGACCCTTCGCGCCGATCAGGTCCAGGGGTCTGGACGAGGTCGGGGAGGGACAGCATGGGCTTCCAAGGGTCACGGGAGGAGAACTTCAATAGTCCAAATCACTCGCCTGGACGTAGGATGGAAGGAAGCGGGCCCGGAGGACCACGTTCTCGGTCCCAAGCCCGAAGCCTGAAGGGCTGACATGTCGCAGTGGTCCCAGCAGTTGCCGGGAGTAGGGAGCAGGCGGCAGTGCCCCGGGCCCTCGCTAGGTGGCACTGTCACCAAGGACAAGGCTGGCTGAGGGTCCAGCGACCCGGAGCCGGCGTCCCTCTGCCAAATGTGAACCTGGGGAAGGGCCGGGTGGATTCTGCTGGGCCAGCTCAGCGCTTGAGCCCCTGGCGGATTGCCACCGTCCTCTCTCCCGTACGGACCCAAATGAGCCGGCCTTTGTTGGAAGTTGACAGCGCTTTGGTGCTTGCTGCTGGGTTACTCATTTAAGTAGTCAGTGGGCTTGGTAAGGGCCTTCTTTGGTTAAGTCGGGCTCTGGGTATTTAAAGATGATTGAGACATGGTCCGCACGACCAGGAAATATGTCTTCTTTGGGGAGCCCGAACAGTTAGCTACACGGAGCATAAAAGGCTATAGTAAGGATTCCCATTTATTGAGCACTTCCTAAGCCAGGGTATCTTGTACATGTTTCTAACCCCCTATCCCACAACAACGTTGCAAAGTAAGCATTTTGTACCCCTGTTTTACAAGTGGGGGGAAGGAATGACTGCCCAAGGATATACAACTAGTAGGCAGCGTTTTTGGGTGTGTCTCCAAGGTTCGTGCCCTTCTATCCCACTCTGCCTTCCTCTGATGCTTAAAATAAAAATAAAAATCCTTACTGATTTTAGAGAGAGAAAAACATTGATGTGAGAGAAAAACATGGATTGATTTCCTCCCACACACATCCGGACTGAGGGTATGCTCTGAATGGGAATCGAACCTGAAACCTTTCTGGTGTGCGGGATGCTCCAACCAACTAAGCCACCCAGCTGGGGCCTCTGATGTTTTGTTTTTTTTAAGCCTCTATTCCTGTGTCTCACATCTGGGCAAGTGGAGAAGAAAATCTGGTGCTTCTTCCTTCGGCACCAATGGGAGATTCAAGCCAGGTAAGCCCTGCCTGAATGCGTGACCCCTTATCTGGGCCCCACCTCACCACCATGTATTTTTGCCTGTGAGAGTTTATCTATGAAAAGCACTTAAAACAGCCCCTGGCACATAGTAAGTGCTATGTAGGTGTTAGTCATCACTACTATTGTGATTGCTGTCGTTGTTGTTGATGGTCTCATCACTGGAGAAAAGGACTGGGTACCTCTCCTTCCAACATACACATATACATCTGTGTGTCCCTTCAGCCCTGTGCCATTCCCAGAAAGGGCCCAGAGTGATTTACCGTCCTAACCTCCACTTTTCCCTATAGAGCAGTGGTTCTCAACCTTCTGGCCCTTTAAATACAGTTCCTCATGTTGTGACCCAACCATAAAATTATTTTCGTTGCTACTTCATAACTGTAATGTTGCTACTGTTATGAATCGTAATGTAAATATCTGATATGCAGGATGGTCTTAGGCGACCCCTGTGAAAGGGTCGTTCGACCGCCAAAGGGGTTGTGACCCACAGGTTGAGAACCGCTGCTATAGAGGAATCCCTTATATTAGATATGTCTGATTCCTCATTCATCTTGTGGACAACAAATTCCTAAACAAGGAATTCTTGGAAATAAGGACCTAACTTCATGTCAACACCTCAGTGAAATTTTCCTAATTTGCCCACATAAAGTTCACAATGTGATCCCATGGCCTTACCCCCCATCAAAGCATTTTTCACGCTGTGCTGGCGTCTTTAAATACTTGCTGTTCCCACCAACCTGTGAGCTTCTGACGCCCACAAACTGCTGGCTCGTTTCTGTATGCCCTTCCTTTTTTGCCCTGAAGTGGCCTTCTGAAAGTGCAGCTCTCTCTGTGTTTAACCTTTTCCTGGCCTCGGGCAGCCATGTTTTTCCAGGCTCATGCGGACGGTGAAAAGTGAGAACGTGGCTGGTTCTCCCCCAGCCAGAGGCATTGCAGTCATTTCTTGATAGGCTTTTCTTTGATGTATGGTGTCCTCATCACCACCCAGGTGTCTGCAGGGCTCGAAGTCTGTGCATCACACATACTTGTGTTCCTTAGACTTCCTATCACAATGCCTGACTTCCTGTCACAAGCCAGTTAATGAATGAATGAACCCAAGATGTCTGGAGACCTCCCTCTGCCAAAGAGGTGTGTAAAGCTGATGGCATTTCTTAGCACAGGTAGTCAAGCTACAGTGTTTCTCATCTTCTTCAAGAGGTTTTCGTATGTCACTTGGCTCTAGCCCTTACCCCAAAACCCTACAAATGCAGCCATTTGGAAGATCCTGAATTCCATATTTTAGCAATGACTTTAATTAGAATAAAACAAGGTTTCTCAGTGGTTAGAGCAGTCGTGGGCAAGCTATGGCCCGCGGGCCGGATCCGGCCCGTTTGAAATGAATAAAACTAAAAAAAAAAAAAGACCGTACCCTTTTATGTAATGATGTTTACTTTGAATTTATATTAGTTCACACAAACACTCCATCCATGCTTTTGTTCCGGCCCTCCGGTCCAGTTTAAGAACCCATTGTGGCCCTCGAGTCAAAAAGTTTGCCCACCCCTGGGTTAGAGCGTTGGCCCACAGACTGAAGGGTCACAGGTTCAGTTCTGCTCAAGTGTATGTACCTCGGTTGCAGGCTTGAACCCTAGTCCCGATGAGGGCATATGCAGGAGGCAACCAATCGATGTGTCTCTCTCACATCAATATCTCTTTCTCGGTCTCCCCTCCTCCCACCACTCTCTCTAAAAATCAACGGGGGAAAAATACCCTCGGGTGAGGGTTAACAACAACAAAGAATAAGCCAAGGCGACGAGATGGTCCCACAATGTTGCACAGACTCCACGTCCCCCAGTGAGGAAACTCAAACGTCATGGTCACTGGGATGAGGCCTGTCGCTTCCTCTCTGCTGGTCTGTTCAGTACCTCAGCTCTCCGGCTGAGAAAGCCCTCTGGGGGAAGCCTAGTAGGTAGTCACATCTGGCGTTCTGCTAAAATGTGAAGGGAAGGGGCATGACAAATGGGATGGAGGTGCATATATTCATTTAATGAATATATTAAAAAATCAAAATGGGAAGGGGCATGACAAATGGGATGGAGGTGGTGCATATATTCATTTAATGAATATATTAAAAAATCACTGCCCTCGTGGAGCTTACATTCTGCTGGGGAAATAGACGTGATAAAGGTGGAGTCTGTAAAGCCAGCTGACTCCCTAGATGTAAGAGATGATGAGCAAGTATTTACTGAGCACCTACTACATGTGAGGCACTGGGGATGCAGCATTACATGAGACAGAACCAGTCCTCACCTTTTCTGTGCGTTCAGGCTGGTAGAAAACCAGATACTTTGTGAATTGTTACACATCCAGTCACTTAACTGCAATGGCCTATGAGGGGAGGAAGGGCTGGACGCTGACGCAGGCGGAAGGGACAGCGCACGCAATAGTTCTGAGGTAGGACCATGGCAATTTGGAGGACCATGGCAAGACAGGAAAGAAGGCCTGTGTCTGAAGCAAGGGAGAGAGAGACAGGTAAGGCAGGCAAGGCTTCCATCTGGGCAGGCATCCACAACCATGTTGGGGAACTGGGGCTTTATTTTAAGATCAAGGAAGATGAAAAGATCACTAGAATTCTGAGAAGCCGTGCAAGCCTGGGCAGCTAATAGCAGTAGCATTAACAGAATCTCATGAGACGTCTCAGGAGAGCTGAGTTCCGTGGGAAGAGTGGAGGGTTGGGTTATAAATATACTGAGTGTGTGAGGGAGGGGAGATGTGGGACATTTCTCCTAGAGACGCCCAGCGGGGTATGTTCTGAGCTCAGGAAAAAGGCAGAGCCACAGGTGTTCAT